TGTTCATGCTTATAATAGAATATAAAATTAAAAATATTTTTATTTTCTATTTTTAAAAAAAGCCAACACAACACAATTAGTACAAAGAGAAGGCTAAAATTTCACACAGCGAGACTAGTTTGTGGCATTACATAGCTAGAACTCAACAAATGATCAAAATCTAGAGCCTTAGGATGCTAATTCAACCTGCCTGCGTCTGCTGCTGGGAGACTAGAGGAAGCAAAGCAGACACTCATGCCATCTTCCCACAAACTAGGCCATGGGAGCATCTGATTAATAATCCACACATACATATGGAGATGAAGAGCAAAATGAATCATTGATGGATGCTGTCTGGTTCCTGGAGCCACTTGTTGTCACTGGGGGCTTAAACCGAGCTGGTCTTCGTGCAGATGGAAAGGAGGCATGAAAACACGGTCCTCTGTGTTTGCAGAAACCTCATCCACTTTACTACCACACAGACGGAGGAAGCAGTTGAGCTCTTTGTTAGAGATGCTGGAAATTGTAAAATTTACAAACCTGTAATTTCATCATTGTCTTTGCTAATTTCAGCTTCATTAGTACAGTAGTTGCGGTCTTTTATGTGAACACAGATTGGTAAAGTTGCAGTCCAACATCTCCATGTGTTTTTTTCTTTTCCTTCTTCATAAAGCAATCAATGTGATATGCAAAGTGTAAAGTATTAACCTTTGCAGTGGTATTTGGCCTTTTCTATAGGTATAGGTAGAGTAGTGTTTGTTTTTTGTATGCAACGATAAAGTGTACCCTAAAGGAATGCTGTTATTGCATTTTAAACAAAATGTTTATTGTCTTATTTAAAAAAAACAAAAAAACAAATTTAATTATTTGGTGCATCTATTACTGTATTTCTAATATTTTATTTAAAAAAGCCTTAAGTGGTTAAATAAATAAAAAAAATCTGACAGAATGTGCCAATTTTCTATCCAATTAATCAAATATAATAACTAAAATAATCATTAGTTACAGCCCTACATGACTATGAAAAGATAAAATGATGTAGTTAACACAACCGTGCAGCTTGGGTGCAATACTGAAGCAGTAACAGTGTGCTGAGAAAGGGTAACTTCGTCTCTGCAGCAACCAAACATGCCAAGTGGCGTCGATTTCTGTTCCAAAGTCCCCAAAAAGCTTTGCAGAGACGCTCCCCATCCGATGAGGGAACACTACCCCAGCATCTATGCGTTCAAAGGTATTTATAGCACACCACCTCCAGCATGGGAAATTAACATTTCGTTTTGAAACCCTAGAGCATCGCCTGGACCAAGAGGATAACCTTACATGACAGCTTACGGAGGGTGCAAGCGCAGAGAAGCAACGAGTCGGTGGGAGGGGAGATCCGCTCTCACTGCATGTCAAGAGCACAACTACCACACACAAGAAGGGTCAACGTGGAAAAGAGAAAATGTGTAGATACCACCAGCAGTATGCTAGGTCAGAAAGAAAATAAATAAATAAATAAACAAACTTTAGTTTACACAAACCTCAACGTCATCACGATCTATTCAATTGCACAAGAAGCAAGACAACTGAATCCGTTATATCCTCTATAAACATACGTTCCCTCCATTAAAGTGCTTAATTGGTTATAGAATCCATACAAGCAGAACCACAGCAGAGATAATAGATTTTTAATGGCGTAATGATGGTAAGGAGACCCTCTCCTCGGAAGTATCAGTCAGATAGTGAGACTCCGAGAGCCGGACTAAAAACCTCGACAGTCCGCCACACCCTCCCGCTGTTTTCCAATGACATCATCATCATCATCATCATCATCATCATCCTAAACAGGACTGAAACAAGTGCTGACCGGCAAGTAAGAAATAACGAGTTGTCTTTCTGAGAAAAACCTAACAAAAGCACACGAGGATGTGAGTTTAAGGAGCACGCTAGAACGAGGAGGCAGATCTGCTCATTTAAAGAGATGAGCAGATAATTTTCAGTTTCTTATTCGACATCACACCTACATGTGTGAGTGTGCACAGGCCAAAACGCTCTGCTCTTGAAAGGCCCTCGAGTCCAAGTGACCTTTTCCCTACTGGGTCATCCTTTCAGCTTGTCGGGCTGGGTGGGACGACACAGGCGGCAGGCTAGAGATGAAAAGACTAGCTGACCCCCCCTCCCCATATCACACACAGACACAAAAAAAAAACAAAAAAAACAGCCAGTTCGAGGCTTATCAGACCGCAAACATCCCAAAACTTTGAAGTTACGTTGTTGTTTTCTTTTTTTCTTCTTCTTCTTCTTGCAGCTGGAGGACTTGGTGAATCCTGAACCCAGACGTTTTAGAGAAACAGAAACCTACACTAGTAATTATCAGTCATATGTCAGAAGAATTACACTTTTTCAGAATTACTAATCTACAGTAGAAGGCAGACAATATATATATATAAAAATCTGTGGTATGACTGGGCTTAAAATAACTCCAGAGTTTCAAATCTGCTATTTGAAAAGGGTAGTAAGCTTACATTGTTTGACAAGGTTATTTTTTTGTTAAAAAACTATAACTCGGGAAAAGTCTCGCTTCTTTTGGAACGCAGTTTGGTAATATCAAGGCCACATCTGATCCCAGAACAGGACAGCAAATTATATTCACACCTTTATCTCTGGCCTTGTTCCAGCTGGCTCCTTCCTTGGCTTTCAAGGAAAACTGTAAAACTGTAGAAATTTAGAAGCAACCCCAATATAAACGACTCTATGACTACCTGATGTTCACATTAAGGCAGTACAATATTAGGAAAACTCATAATTGTGCTGTTGTTGCCGAATATGGCAATGAGGACAATGGTTTGGACTAAACCACATCTTCTCTTCCTCACTCTTTGGGTATTTTGTCAACCAAAAGCTTTAGCATCTCAGATGCAAAAAAATCTATATTAGTCATCAAAGGCAGAGAAAGTCAGTCCAGCTATCCAAATATATTACTTGGTTACAGAGCTTGGATGCATAACACTTGAAATATAATACCATAGCAAACAATGCACCCAAACAGTCCATTGCAACGGCTATAGCGTTCATGCTGATGCTACCATAATTACTGTGATTGGATACATTTCATTTCGCATTTCAGCTTCGTTTTTATTGTTGCAGCTAAAAGTAGCTTTAATAGTATTGGATATCTTACTTCTGGAGAGATTGTGAATTTTGCTCCAATCACTTGATTAGAGATTCAACTACTGGCTAAGTCCCTGAAAAAAACCTTTGTGTTTGTTGTTTTGAGTTGTAGTTTTTTTTTGTTTTTTTTTTTAGAATTTTCTATAACCGATTTGTGAGAGAACACCCGCAAATCACTCGCAATTTTTGAATCAATCAATATCGTAATTTCAAATATCCGTGTTGCTTTATCTGAAGAAGTATGTGAACTGAATTGTTCTTTTTGTGTTTCCAGGCAGAATAGATAAAAGGAAAGAAAATTGATCAGGATGCTGCCATCATCATATTTCGTCGTGGGGATGCTATTTTTCTGATGTACAATTCTGTCCCTAGTTTGTATTTTCTACATTTTCTGCAGTGACTTGTTGCTGAATATCAAAGTTTGATTTGCCTTGAGACGAGTCAAATGAAAAAAACAACAAAAACATTAAAAAAACCCACAAAAAAACACCCTTATTGTTAGTTTATATATTCAAGTATCTTTATACTAAAAGTTAAGAAATTTGGTGCATGATTACATAAGCTGGGCAAAGTAATATTGAAAGCAAGAAAACTGTAAGAGATCAGCAGTTGAGTACACATCAGCTTCCAGGTTTTAGAATCTAGTTCACATAAAAATAGCTTTTCTCCCCTCTTCAAAAAAATATTTGCATGTTTGCTCTCATCAGTAAATCCCTCCAAATGTAACAGAAGTCAGCCTATATCATTTTCCCTCCTAAATAGTTGTGCATTGATTATCCACACAATTATACTTCATCTTACACGGACTAATAAGCTTTCCTAGGGCAACAGTCTGTCCCCATATGTCTGGTCCAGAAACTGAATGTGTTTATCTGCCATATTCAGAATACTCTATCACTGTTTTTAAATGGTGAAATTGCATTTTATATTATGCAATATGACCTTCAGACTGAATAAAGTCACCGTTTCAAGTCAGTTAGTTGACATTTATTCAAATTATTATGTAGCTCATTCATAAGGAGTTGAATGTTTCAGAACATCTAAAAACCTTTTTTTTTAATTAAGCCATTTTTGAGTCATACCTTTCGACAGGATACAATAAGCATTAAAATATAGATTAATCCCAAATTAAATCTTTTAAAACACTACATTTACATTTTTATTTTACCCACTTATCTTTGTGTGATTTGAAAATAAATTAGTTCAAGTGCATTTGAAAACCATACTTATTAGGACAGCTGAAAAGACATTACTGATCGATCGATTTTCTGTCCAACTTTAGTTCTAACACATTTTCGGAAAATGGATTGTTGCATGCCGTTTCTATAAATTCCTTGTAGAAACATTTTGACTTCCGCAGTGATACGTTCAATTCTTACGGAGTGAGATGGGGCGTCACCCTATTTGTCTGTGTTGCCAATATCTGCAAATACTAAGGATTCTCTCAACATTACTGAACATTTACAAAAAGAACGTTCACTTTTTTTCTAGATGTAAATAGCCTCCACTTTCTCTTTCAGAGTCGGATAAAAGGGGACACCCAGTGACCATCATATCACTTAATTTCCAAGTTCTAACACCACAACTATTTTGTGTGTTTTAGCAAAACTCGACACAACCCGGCGTCTAATTATTCAGGCACAAATAAAAGAAAATATCAGTTATGAGCTGTGTAGAAAAGGTTTAGGCTCGCCGTGGGCAAGTAAAAAGATGTTATGATAGCAAGCTAACACGTTTTAACTGTGGACCGCAATCTTATGCGGTGTGCAAAACACCGAAAGCGTGTAAAAAGACGACACATACCAGAGAAAGAAAAAAAATCCCCCTTGAACACATTTCTAACCCAGGAATGTGAAGTATATACTCACAACGAGCAGGGGTCTAATTACCGACAAAAGCGATGTTTCGTCAGTCGCAGAGGAAGAAAGAAATCTTTCAATTCCGTTGCCACAGTTAGATGGAAAAACAAAATGTTCCTGAGATCTGTCCAAACGTCTCTTCGGGTTACCAATATCCTTTATTTGCCAATTTAGTAGCTGATTTATTTTTCAGTAGGTAATACGCAGGGAAAAGAATCACTGGTTTTCAGTATGATGAGCCCGCGTAGAACAATGTGCTTCCACAGTGAGAGCGGAGCAAAGGAGATGAGGAGTACAGAGCCCACGCCCAGCTCTATCAAACATAGAACCGCCCAGGTTACTGGTCTGTTACAGATGCGTTCAGGGACTGTAAGAAACATGGCCACTCCATGAAAACGCCCAAGTACTACAAAAACAAATTCAAGTTTACAAATAGGCATTTGAGTTTTAAAGACAACGAATGCCTAATTTGATCCGAAATGAGTGATGGAGGTTGCGTTTTTGTCCTCTCAAGGCAACCATAGAATGGCCTGTAACACAAACTCACAAACATATACAGTTGTAACTAGAAAGCACACCGTCAAATATTTATGGTAATTAAAAACTGTCACATTTTCAGGATACATAATGTTTGCTATGCACACATTTTAAAACACGATACATTTTTTAATAAATATTTAACTTAATAGTGGATACTTTTCTGTTTCCCCGACTGGTAGCCTGAACACTTCATATGGCTGTCGAGAACTACATATCCCAATGAGCCACGGGCCCGTTTCCAGGAAGTTGACCCCGGTTGCCAAGTAAACTTTTGTCTGTTTAGATGATCTGTAAAATGTATTGACAAGACTATTCCTTGCGTCAGGTAAAATATCTAACTTTGTATAATTTATGTACTGCGCACTGTTACTTTGTTTACAGCGAAATGTTAGTTAAACTGTTCCATAAACGATAGCTTCATAATTGTTGTTCATGGCTTCTTTCTTCAGATTGTCGTGAGAAATGAGTGTGTGTCATGACTCTGTGGTCCAAGAGGTCCGGCCTGGTACAGCACGGGTTCAAGTGACTGAGCTGAGCGGTTCAGGGAGCATCAACCCAACTCCTGCCCGTAAAGCAAACCAAGACCAAGACAAAGCAGTGGAACCATACCTTTCTCCAAAAAGACTGGTACGCTGTCTGTCAAAAAAAAACACACACCTTAAAATCAATAATTTTATATCTTAATGGACAAACATTCATGTTACTCCTGTGCAGTGTATAAAACACATCTTCTTTTAAGGATTTGTTGCATAGAATTAGAGTGCCTTGCAAAGACATTGATACCCCTTGAACTTGTCCATATTTTGTCACAAGGATTTCATGTCATAGACCCAAACAAAGTACAATTCTGAAGTTGAATCTCTGACAAGTCACTGAAATGCACTTTTTTTATTTCTTGTTAAAAATGTTTTTAAAAACCATGTATCATTTTCTGGAACTTCACTTTCATGCACTATTTTGTGTTGGTTTATCACATAAAGTCTTCCCACAGTGCAGTTCAGTTTGTGGCTTTAATCTGACAAATGTGAGAAAGTTCAAGGGGTGTGAATACTTATTGCAAGGCACTATTATGAAAGGACTGCTGGTGGTGTTTAAAGTTGATGTGGCCAGACATAAAAACCTTGACACCATATTTATGGTTCCATTTAGAGAATTAAGATTTTGGGGACATATAATTTAGCTGCATTGTTATGGTATGGCACGCCTACTATTTTTGTCCATCTACAGGAACTGTTGTGCGGTACTCATGACCTCTCTCTTGTGAACCATCTGGAGATCTGCGTAGACACCCAAGAAAATACACTGGGTGACTTTGGTGAGAAACAACTTACATTCAAGCCGTATTATATAGGTCTTTTATTCAAACCTTTTTGGAAACAACAACGCCTCTATTTGTTCTAGCTGTTTGCTTTAGAAAAAGACAGTTGCGTCAGGCAGATTTAGATGTCTACAGTGGCAATTGGAAAGGAAAATGTTTACTGCGTTCATCATTGTTCTCTCAAAATCCTAGATTTCATCATGAGTTCATGATTGATGGAAACTGTATGTACAGTTCACAAATGCATCATGTTTTAGTCATGTTTCCTTTAACATAGTGGGCAGGGAGGACTAAACATTTGAAGATATGAACTGGAAATGAGGGAACTCTCTGTATTGAAATACAATAGGTCTGTCATTAAAAGTGATAGAAATATGGCTTTGCTTATCAGTTTTTCTTGCAGGTGCTTACTTGCCCAGATTAGAGCAGCTGAAAATGAACAACAGCTTCGTCATGTCATTGAGGTAGGTACTAAAACGCTGATGTTATCTTCTTTTTTTGCGTAGGATGTGAAGGAAATCAATTACAGTAAATCATCACTACAGCTTCCATACTATTCAAGAAGGATTTCATCCTTTAGCCAAAAGTAAAACCCACTGCTTGACTTTTTCACATTTATATCTTTCTCTTAAAAACATCTATGACTTAATCAAGAGAAGGGGGAAACGATTGGGGATTCGCTCCTAAGCTTCACATGTTGAGCTATGAGAAATGGTCCTCTGAGTTAGACAATGCATCGAGAAGGTTGGTGTTCACTGGAATGGTGCGCTGTTGTGCAGCTGTTATAATCTGTTGTACTTTACTCCGACATTTCCACCATTTCTCCCACAATACAGGATGTAGAGTCTGCAGCTTGTAAACCAGACTACCAGAGGTGTGACGTTTCCTGCAATCTTGGAGATACTCACACGTGTTTAAGCTTCACCACCTGTTTCACAATGACACAATAGAGGGGGGTTTTGTTTCGTATCACATTTCACACTCTATGTGGCAGGACAGTCTGGTTTTTTTTTTTTAGACTGTCCTGCCACATCAGAAGGCCACATCTGGGCCATTGAAATCTCTGGTTATAATTTGAGAAATGTCTGGAAGGTGAAAAAGAGCAAACGAAAAGTTAAAGATTTGTCTGCTCCACCCTGAGACCAGTGGAGCAGAGCCAGTTGGACATGTGCTGCCTCTGACAGCGCTTCCTGCTCAGGGCTAAGAGAGCTGTAGTAGAGAGCATGATCCAGGGTTAGATATATTTTAAAGCTGACTTCTTTTAAAATGTGCAGTAGGGGTAGATTTGTAGAAGAGAAGCAACATAGAATTTCCAATGGAAAATAAAATTGTTACAATTTCTAAAAGGAAACTTTGCTGGCCTTTCTCATTATCGACAGCATTATCATCTCCTTGCGCTGCATGTCCCTCTACTTTGTGCTGCTCTGTCTCTATAGAGACCTGGGAACCACCCTGTCCCACCTGCAGGTGCTGTGGATGTCTCACTGCTGCCTTCAAGACTTAAGTGGCATTTCTACATTTGATTCTCTTAAGGTAGACTATAACAGTCATAGAAGATTGCTTAAAAACTCATACTATGATCATCATTTATCCTTGTTAGTAAAGATCCTTGCAAAAGTATCTGTACCTCAGGAACTTCTCTTCAGTTTATCCTGTTACAACAACAACAACAACAACAAATGTCAATGTGATAGAACAACTCAAAGTAAAATTTGCAGAAAACAGCAGAGGTTTGTGAGCGGTAACCAACTGTATGTGACTCAGGTATGATGAGGCAGAGACACACCTAAATCCTGCAGAACACCAGCCCTCGAGGCCTGGATTTGAGGATTCTTGGTCTAGTGGAGAGTCTCTGAAAAGACTTGAAGGCAGAAGTTCCCAGATGCTCTCCATCAACTCTGACTGAGCTTCAGCTTGTTTTGAACAGAAGAAAGAGGGAACATCTCTAGATATGCAGAACTGGTGGAGAGAGACCGCCCAAAGGGCTTTCACTTGTGGTTGCAGTGAATTGCAGTGAATGGTGATTTTACAAAGTGTTAACTCAGGAGGGTTGAATAAATGGCACAGTTTTCACATTTCAATTTGTAGAAAATATCAACTATTATTCAACCTTTTTTTGCTTAACTTCAGGATTTTGCTCTGCTTTGCGTTGGTCTATCACATAAAATTATAATAAAATACATTGAAATTGTAATGTGACACAAATGTTAAAAAAAACAAAAAACGTTTAAGAGATGTGAATATACGTTTCCAAGGTTCTGTACTTAAACTTGCTCAATGTGTTTCTTTCTGTTCACTTTCTGTGATCCTTTGTTCCTGCTTCAGGAGCTCTACCTGCCCTATAACAATGTGTCCGACCTAAGTCAGGTTGCCATGCTGGAGAACCTGCGGCTTTTAGATTTGGAAGGGAACTGTGTGGACGACCTTATCCAGATTCAGTATCTGGGTTTGTGTCCCAATCTCCAAACTCTCACCCTGGAGGGGAACCCTGTGAGCAAACGCCCTAACCCTGCTTCCCCTCAGGTAGGGAATTTCTTTTGGCACACAACTGAATCAGTCTGTATATATTTATCTTAGCATTTTTCCATATGACAAGAATTGTCCTGGCTACGACACATACATTGTAATGTTGTTCGTTCAACATTTGCTTCTCTGGTTGGGTTTTCGCTAGGATCAGTAACACGTAAAGTACCAAAAGTCCAAATGATTTGTTTTGTGCATCCACCAATTCATACGGAACAACTTGAAAATATACTCTCTGGGTATCTTTACTGTATCTTAGGGTTTCTCAAGGTAAATTTCCCCCCGAGAGGGTGAAGCTATCAAAGTGGCAGAAGTCTGGCAAAATCTAAAAGAAGCCTGTGAACGGTTGGAGTTGAATAAATCTTGTGCAAGGAGCTGGGCAGAGCTCCTAAACAGGAAGTGTTGTATTCAGTTGGTGTTGTAAAAGCCTGCTTGCAAATGCAGCTCGTGCCTGTGATCATCCACCAGTGTCTCCTGTGCGCGCAGTGCTGCCGGTGTGCTGGCACATGAAAGTATGTTTGTGGCGATCTGCTCTGGTCGCACAAAAAGATATCAAAAACCCAAAACTTAACAGCTGAATAGCTGACAGGGTTTTACAGCGACGCGTCATAGCTAACAACAGGTTTTGTCGTGATGTTGCAGAACAAAATCTGACTGGAAACAGGCCAATGCACTGTTAAATTAATGTAAACGTCATGTAGGTGAATCAACTCTCTATGCTTCTGTTATTTTCCTGGATGCACGATACCAAGCTGCATTTAGCTGCGAGTTTTTTGGGCCTCTGTGAATGTGTTTATTTACACCCACCAGTGGAGCATTAATTAGGAAACTAGGGCAATGAGTGGAGATGCTGAGCTGAATATGCATTAGGCATGTGCTTTGTAGTAATTGTGGGATTCTTGGGTTTGCTCTCTCCCCCCAAACCAACACTTCTCTCTCTGTCTCTCTTTCCATCACACACAAATGCACACATCCGCTCACTTCCTCTCTGTTAGACGATCTTTCTCTTCCCTCTTTCTTTTTGGTTTTGTCCTTGCCTGTCTCTTGTCTTTGTCTTTTTTTATTCATGGCATCTGTGGGATTTAGTAAAAGCCAGGAGTGACGAGCCCTAGTTTGATTTCTCGGTAGCTAAGAAATTGGCTGGTGTGCCTTTGCAGATCAACATTAAGCGCAGTACTTCATTTGCATCTGGTAGTAACCTGTTCCAGACATTAGATTCAGATACTTTTAGTCTAAACACAGGAAATGTTCGAAAATATTCATCAGACCAAAAAACAGAAACACTTGTAATACAGAAAAGTGGGCCTAGTTGAAACTATATTTGATACCTGCTTAAAGTTTGTTATTTGCAATAGGTACTTTTAGTCTGACAAAGGATTCTCATTGGAAATCATATACTATTTAATTAACTATGACTTTGCATAAAAAATAGCCATTGATCTTTCTGTCTATTCAGGGATTTTCTGTGTCAGACCAACACAATGTCATTGAAAATTGTGAGCCAGCAAGGAAATGATACTGGACATATAGATTTAACTTTGACTGGACCCTTTGGAAACATAATTGTGTGTCGTCCTTTAAATATTTTCCTCTTAAAAACTTTGAGGTGGAACACACATGTGTCCTCTGCATTTACATCGTCTCTCCTCGTCATTGTTTTGTCTCCTTTGCTTAGGCTGAAGAGTATAATTACAGAGCAGCAGTGAGGGAGTTGGTCCCTCAGTTGCGTTACCTAGATGATGTGAAGGTGGAGGAGGACAAGTTGACCTGCTGTAGCACCACGCAGGAAGACTGGGACATTCTCAGAATGTCTTTTCAAGAGTCCAACTCCTTCGAGGTTGCTGGTAAAATAAATAAATAAATAAATAAATAAATAAATGTTTGAATGCGTGTCTTTATGCAATATATTTGATTGCAATTGTCTCTATTTAATTGACATCTAACTTCTCAATCTGTAGAAAAGATAGCAAGGCATCTTCGTCATGGTGCACACATTACCGGTCCTTCGGGTGCCAGACCTGCGTCGTCTGCAAGCATGAGGCCCATTTTGGCGACTGGGCGCAAACTTCGTTCCCCTCCTGGATCAAGACCAGCGTCTTCAGAGTCTGATGTAGCATCAGTGGAAGCAGAAACCAGCACCCTTACGCACGGTGTGGCTCAGCTTTGGTTAATCCTGACATGTCCATTTAGGTTTAGTGATACCTGCTGTTCTGTTTTGAAACGCATAAACAGTAAGCAATCCAAACAGCGACCACCCTGGCCTAACAGTGCCACCAAGAGGCTCCAGTTGTTTCGTCTTGCCAGATGTCTTTGTAATTTACTGCTGTCTCTCTCATCTGCTGGATGTGGAGGAGCTGGCAAGATCCTGTTCTGTGGGAATCCTGTGCAGGCCGTTCGGGCAAGGAGAGAAAAGTTGAACGTGAGAAACAATGCATCTATCTGACTCCCCAAATCAATACACTCTATCACTGATCAAAACAGTACAGATGAAAATCGCTACTGGTCTGATACAGTACAAAAAGTAAGCTCACAGTAAAAAAAAAAAAAAATAATAATAACCTGTTATCTCTCTCTGTTGCCTCTTAGACGGCACCAACCAGATCCTCTTTGGTCCTTCGCGACCTTCCCATCCATGTGCCAGAACACACGTATGACCTAAATGAGCCTGATCCTGAGGAGCGTGTCAATGTGTTTGCAGAGTTGCGGGCCTGGAGGGAACAACACAGCAAGTAAAAATTGATTGCAAGCCTCACTTTTATTTATGCTCATAGCTAAATATTGTAAAAGCCTTTTTTTTTTTTGTTACTCTTTTGGCTCACGTCTCATTTCAGATGTGGTTGAATCACATTTTTAGCCTTTAACCATATCTTTACAAGGGGCAGGGTGTTTTATCCATGAGGTAGAGAAAGCGCTAAAGAAGAAGAAAACGGAGATCTTTCAGGGGCACACTTGGAAACCCAGGGATAGGAGCTGAATGTGCTTGTAAATACACCCAGATGTGAATATTTTCTCACTTGGTTCATAAAATATGTTATTTATCTTATCTTTTGGGGTGATTCTGCAGGCAAGTCAGATGCAATTTCACCTACCTTGCCTGCAGGTGGCGGTCAGAAGGCCCAGTGACACCAGTGCATAGCAGCTTTACTTCTGTCAGACTGTCCCAGAACAACTGTGGCTACAGTGTAGTAGCTTTCCACCATCAATGTGTGAATGACTGAATGTAGTGCGAAGCACTGTGGGCTCCTCTGGACTTGATAAAGTGCTGTACAAGTAAAAGCCATTTACCATTTATCCATATGAAATCTGGCAATAAATGTCTGAGCGGTAAATAATTTTCCTTAATGTGGGAGCACTTTTATTGCAAGATACTTTTTTTAAAAAAAGGAATGAGATTTGTACTATTATGAGATCTGGAAACATATCATATGATAATATTATATCATATTACAATTACATTCTTTCTTATTATATCATGCATCCCCTTTGCATAACTCAAATAAATGTAGCTGTGCTCACTGATTGTGTTATTTTGTGTAAGAGATCATGAAAAGTTTGGGAACTACTGCTGTATTTTTTTTCTAACTTGTTTTCCAGACAGCTAGCAATTATAGAGAAAGAGCGGTTGCCACAGGTCCTGGTTATTCACCATTCTGATGAAGAAGAAGCCGAAAGAGAGGAGGAGGAGGAGGAAGAAGGCTTTGGTGGTATGAAGAGCGACTGTAGTGACGAAGATCCAGAAGAAGACGAACTCTGTGACGGCTTAGCTACTGGCTCACCAGACTCATCGTTTCAGTCTCTTTCCCCAGGTGAAATATTGAATGCATAAAGTAACTACATCCTCCATTTCTATACATGATTACTCAAACTATAACAGTTAAGAAGGGTTTTTCTTTCTTATTGTTGTCAGACCTGAATCAACAAGAAACATCTTTCCCCAACATGGTCCCACTGTCCCTGTCTACAGACACCACACCTTGTCCTTCCCCTCCTGTTCATGTCACTGCAGCTCCTGTGAACACGAAGCTGCCAGGCATTCGTGCCCGCAAGCTTCGTCTCCCTCTGTCCCATCCAGAGCAGCTCAGCAGAAAAGACTTGGCCCCTCAAACTCTGTCAGCTGCAGCAGAAACACAACTCATGTCCAAGAGACATGTGGCAAGGCCCACTTACTCACCCCACCCACCTCCGAAACGTTATCCATGTGAAGGACCAGTGATTTCAAGGTATGGCAATAATAAACAGTTACTTTTTGGGCTGATTTTTATTATTTTGTTTTGTTTAAATTGTTAAACTCCAATTTAAGCAAGGATACCATTTATTTCATTTTTATCTGTTGAAAACTTTGTTAATTGTGAAAATCCAGACACTATTGCAAATGGAGAATTGTTTTTCAATTGGCATCAACTTATTTAGGGGTACAGAATCATTGCATCAACCCCTGCAGTTGGTCATCAGCTCAGATTTCTTTGAATTTACTATTCAGATTCCAGGAAATCTGTCTATTTCTTTCATTTTTCCTTATTTGTGTATGAAGTTTTGTGCTTTAAATCCTTCCGTTTTAGGTATTCCATTAATTTAAAATGAATCTTAATCATATTATTAGATGTTAGTGTGTTTTACTTATATATTCTTTAAAAGAAAGTCAAATTTGATTTTTGTTCCAAAAATAAAAGATGAGCTGTCTTTCGAATAAATAATGCTCAGACATGTGTTTTTGTACTGATGCTGTGCTTATTTAACACCAGTGAATATTTGATAATCTTTCATTTCTTTGTCCAGAAATTAAATTGTGCAACTTCTCAAATACAAAATCACAGCTTTTAGGTCTTCAGCTGAGGAGGTGTAATTACAACAACTGCCGGTTAAAAAGCATATTTTTAAGTATGATTCTTTAGCAAATAAATTGTCAATATAATTTAACAAGACAAAAACTTTTGTAAATCATAAATGTTTCAATTTTACATGCATATTTTTTTTAGATCAGATTTTTTTTTTTTTATTATTATTAGAACTTTTACTTGTATTATCTTTCAGTGCGGGTATGGAGAGGGCCAGTCTACCTTTGACCTCCAAGCAAAAGATGTCAAAAGTCCTCCAGAGACCAGTGATATCCCGCCCTCACACTGCTAGAGCAGTTCTGCAGAAACATCCCCAGCAACATCTACTCCAGCCGTCCAGAGGGAGCTCAGACCTGGACTGACACCGTGCTGGCCTGCCTTCCAGGCGTTAGGCCTTGTCATTTCTGTTCAGCTTGTACATCCTTTATTCAGCTCTGGTTCATTTCTAGTTGCTCACACTGCAGATGGGAGCAAAGCAGAAAACTAAACCACAGAATGGAGGTGTTGAGGAAACACACTGAAAAATATGACACATCCTTGCGTCTAAGTGGAAACCAATGTCGGAGAATCGCTTTTACAGAGGCCCAATGTTTTACAGTTGCTTCCATATCGTGTCTGGTATCTCCATAAAACCACACTGAGGGCCGTTATGGACATTTAATTGTAGTTTAACGCTAAATACAGGCATAAATCTCACCAATAGACCTTCATACTTATCCAATAGTTTTCTCTTTTTTTCCACTCTTCCTTTGGGGAGTACTGTAGGAATTCAGACATACGTTTGGATGTGGTGTTGACACTGGTCTTTGGGTCACAGCCAGAGGAAGTGGGGAAGAGTGGACCTAAAGAGACACACACACAGGCCCCTTTTCTCTCCCCCTCCTGAAAAAGGTAACCCTCATGTGAAATATCCCAGAATGGGACGCATCCCTCTATTTGATCCATTGATTATAATTGTTTATATCATGTTTTGAGAAAGCAGGGAATCTTTATATTTTAAGATGTGTACCCTTGATTTGTTTGAAATAATTTATTTATCAAACAGTTCTGAGTTCTTGCAGGACACCAATGTTGAGGGAAGCCATTGTTGGAAAATAAGCACGATTAAAGGTTTATAAACTTCAACTTTAAGAACTCTTTTTTTTTTTCTTTCTCAAAACCCTCATATTTTATTCAGTTAAAGTAGTAAATTAATCTATTCAGTTACATGTGAAAGTGTAACTAAAAGGCAAAACTTGAAGAAAGATTTTCCCAAATGTCATCCGGAATTATAGGAGCCATTGTGACTAATCTAACTGATGTAGGAATCTGATACAGCCTCTAGAGGGCATAAGCTCCACACTTTTTTAAGAACAACATTGCTTTCACAACCTTTTGAAAATCCATGAAATATACTGTAAAACTCAAGTCCTTTTTTTCCCCCTATCTTTTCACCCCCATCAGATTAGTCAAAGTGAGTGTAATGTATCGTAAACGTTTGAAAGAGCTTATTTTAAACACACACACTAATGAAATTTAAAGGGAAAAAGAAATGTACTGAATCATGATAAGCAATGGAGTGGAACAAATGAAGTTCAAATGACGTTCAGATTTTGTTATTGTGACTTATTGCAGACTGTTTTCCTGCAGTAATTGGAAATCACCTCTCTGCTCAACTGTGAAGGACAATCTGAGACTAACGTGTCGCAAGAACTCACCGAAAACCACCGGCTAGATGAGGACAAGACACACTCAATATCTTTGCTTTACCCGAGGGTATATAATGTTGAGACGAGTTTGTTTCGAAGATGTCACAAACATCATTATGTCTAGTTTCATCTCAGGGGAACTGCTTTAACTGGGAAGTTGATATTACTATGCTTGCCCAGGCTATCTGTGTCTTGGTTTGCAAATGCTCATTTCAGACATCATAAGCACTCAGCATATTATGGTCTTTCTTGCATAAGTTTTCATTTCGGATTAAGAAGTAATGGCATGCTTATAGGAATGCATTAACTGTGCAAACATGCCCATGGGTACAGAACTGGTAGACGGTGGTTATGTAATCTGTTTTTCCATGTCTTATCTTCGAAGAATTTCCATAACTGTACCATCTCCCTTGGTTCATTGAGTTTTTTTCATAATGAGGATTACTGCACTCCCTTGGATCCTGTCAGGTGTTTTAAGTCTTGGGATCACATCTCAACACATAGATAGAGAAGAACGGAATGAAACTAGCGGTGCTTTTCACCCTACCCCAGTGTTTCTCAACCCTGGTCCTCAGCGCCCCCCTGCTCTGCATGTTTTAGATGTGCCTCTATTCCAGAACAGCTGATTCAAATGATTGCATGACCGTCAAGTACTGCAGAAGCCTGTTAATCACCCAGAGATACAATTCAGGTGTGTGGCAGAAGGGAAATACCTAAAACATGCAGGACAGGGGGGCGGTGAGGACCAGGGTTGCGAAACACTGCCCTACCCAGTTCAAGTAATCTTCTAATTTCTCTGACAGATATTATTCGCACATCTGGCCCTAGAGAAGCTTTGCAAAACTCCATTTATTAGAGATAATGAGACAAACCAGAAATGTTTTTTTTTCTGGCTGAATAAAAGGTGATTGTAAAAAAAAAAAAAAATTCCTTATTCATCTGATACAAAGAAAAACAAAGGTGGCACTGAAGTGAGTGACTAATTTTATTTGGTGACTGTGACAGATAATATCATTGGGACTGGGAGGCTACACCAGTGGGAGCTTGTACATCCAAGCTCAATGTTTCTGCAGGTGGTGGGTCCATGTTGATAGAGTCTCCTTCCTTATGCTGATCCCCAGCAGCCAAGGCTCAACCAGTGGGAATCTCAGTTTGCTCCCCTAAGACTCCAATCCACGGAGTCAGGTCTTGGGGAAAAGGCCTACCATCAGTGAGACTGTAGAATTGCTCTCAGTCTGACCCACCTGCAATTACGATCATACATTTCAGATCATGATTTAAAAAGAACAAGATCATGGGTACAAGTGGCTGAAACTGGATTTCAGAGAAGAGTGACAGGACTCAGCTTTAAGAGACAGGGCAAGGAGCTCCATCACCTTAGGGGAACTTATAGGCAACTGCATCAAAAGGTTTAAGTTTAGACGGTCTGGTCGTCTTATAAGAGATAAAGGGGAAGACCCAGAACCTGCTGGAGGGACTTTATATTTGTTTTGGACTGGGATCTCCGAGGATGAGTTACAGAGTGTCACTGTGGAGAGGAATCTTTGGGATTCCTTCCTTGACCTTTTTGCCCCCACAACCTAATCTTGGACAAGAGGGAAAAGATGGAGGAATGGATAGATAATGTTTTACACAACAGAAACAAAGCTCCTCCTATGGCAACTACTACATCTGTTATTTTCAAAGAAAGACAAGATGTCAGCATGTACTGTGAGTACTCCAAATGTAATTACCAAATGACATTAAGTCGAATCAATTATGTTCATGTTCATTGAAGGTCTAGTTGTATTCCTCAAAATAATAACAATGCTACACATTCTTGTAACTGCAGCCAAGCGGATATGGGTGTGAACAATTAGGAGAGATGAACTCATTCTAGTCCAATTAGATTATCATTATTTTGTTTTGACTTGCAGTGATTCCTTCTTTTTTCACTCGGGCGTTATAAATGAAAATACTTTTAGTGTGAGTTCAGACAGGCCCAGGAAAAGGTGTTTATGCATTACTGCAAGATTCTGCCGGAAGAAAGATTCCATTCTCCGTGAGGAATTTAAGCCTCATAACTCACTTTCTGTTGACACCTTTACAATCAAGTGGAGACATGGAGTACTTAATAGCAAATGAAAGGTATAAATACAGTGTAATTTACTGTTGTACACTCACTTGAGTGGGAATTCTTCTTCCTGTCTGATCACATCATCCATCTGCATGCCAAACCAATATTTGTACTGCTTTTGCCACACAAGTTTTAAGGAACAACTCTTGTGGCGATGTTAATTATCCACTACCAACTAAGAGTACAGTTATATTTAAGATCAAATGCCAACGTTTTCATGCAATCATGCAACGTTTCAATGCAGTAAAATATGCAATAAAGATGTAAATCTCATTCTGGAAACCAACAGATGAGAAACAATGTGTGAAACACATTTTAATGATTATTTTACTATACCTAATCAAGATACTGGAAAAAATGAAGTATTATGATTCTCTTTCAGGGTTATTTGTCTCAGTTGAAGAGAGTGGCAAGGAGAACAAGAGGTTATCTTCTTTTCAAGCGAGTGAGGCAAAATCTTTTGGAGTGGGGCAGAAATCAGATATCTGAACCCAAATTACATTATTTATATTGCACATGTTTATAGACCCACATCAGCCTGTACACGTTTTAATAACCCAGACAGAATGAAAGTCAGCACAAGAAAATAGAGTAACATTGTACTCAAGCAAGCATGATACTTCATAAAAAATATAACACAAGTTAAAGTAAAGTTCAATGCAACAAAACTCCTAAAAGTATTTTTTGAGGTAAATGTGACTTCACTACTCATGTGCTTTAGACACGTGCAATATTTGCCACCTCATGGCTTGTGGGAGAAATATCAGCTGGCACAACCTCAGATAAAATCGAATTTAGTCAGGACAGGGGAATTTCAAAAGCCATCCAAGTGGAACACAAACTGCAGTGCAATCTGCTGTCATCTAGCACAACCTTCCAGCCAGGTTGATTGTTTTCATATTTCTGAATGAGATTACATCAGAACGCCATGGCATCGTTCAGCTGCTTACATCAAGTGATGCGCTGGACAAGCATTTTATCACTAAGTAGATCAAAACATTGTCAATACAAAGGCAGTAGAGTATTTGCTGTTTGCCATGGCAACAGGGTGCTCCCGGGGCAAGCCCTGTAAAAGAAATGTTGAGATAAGCACACAAGTTGGCATGTTTTATCACCACTGATTCCATCCTGTCACTATTTATTGAACAAAAAGCAGTTTTTGTAAATAAATAAATAGCTACGTTCCCCTAAACCCTAAGAATGCGTTAAAAACATAAAATAGTTACTTTCACTGTGAAAGCAATGCTGGAATATGCACTTTAGCCTTTGTACCTTTAACTGTTACTGTAAACATCAACAAAAGATCTTTATGACATGTCTTATCTGTTGGGGGAACTTATTTGTTTCCTCCTATTCATATTTTACTGAACTTCTTCTGTCGGTTTTCACCTTTTCGGTCCGACTTCCTTAATTTCACCCCTATAGGTTCCCTTTTTATTTTTCTTGACATCATAACAAATTATTGTTGTTCTCCTCCATAACTTTACTTTTTTTTATTTTTGCATTTATACCTCTTAAAGTTAAACATGTTAACAGTTTTTTTAAAAAGTCATGGCGGGATTGTTCTTAGGCAGCGAAGTCTAACATGACTGAGGAAAAAAAAATAATTTGACTGGATAAGTGATAAGTTAAGTTTGAAATAGATTTAGAACTTGCACAGCATGAAAACTACAATGTGTCCACTCAGAAAGCAGCAGAGCTTTCGTCATGAGACTGGAA